AGGATCAGAGAGAGAGGGACTGACACAGAATCTGAAACAGGCTCTAGGCTCTGAGCTGTCAGCACAGAGCCTGACGCGGAGTGCAAGATCATGACCTAAGCTGAAGTCCGATGCTTAACCGACTGAGCCACCCAGGTGCCCCAAAGGCACTCTCCTTTTACAGAAATATTTGTGCTGCTGACAAAGATAAATTTGTGGTGAAAAATGGGAAACAATGTAATGTCCCTTCATTGGGGAAACTGGTAAATTATAATATACTCATAATGTTTTTTTAAAGTGAAATACAGTTAAAGGTGCTATTATAGATCGCAGAGAATGGTATTAAGTAAAAAGTCATGTTATAGAATAATACATGTAGGGGCACCTGGGTGATTCAGTCATTTCAGTATCTGACTCGTGATTTTGGCTCAGGTCATGATCACAGGGTTGTGGGATCGAGCCCTTTGTCAGGCGTGGAACCTGCTTAAGATTCTCACTCTCCTTCTGCCCCTCTCCTGCACTTGGGCACTCTCTCTCTCAAAGATAATGATAATAATAATAATAATAATAATAATAATAATAATACATGTAATATGACCCTACTTGTATTTAAAAGTTAACTATGTTGGGGTACCTGCGTGGCTCAGTCATACAAAGCGTACAACTTTTGATTTTGGCTCAGGTCATGATCTCATGGTTCATGGGATTGAGCCCCGCATTGGGTGCCATACTGCATGGAGCCTACTTGGGATTCTCCCTCTCCCTCTCTCTCATTGCCCCTCCCCTGCATGAGCTCGTTGCTCGCTCTCTGTCAAAAAAACAAAAACTTTAAAAAGTTAACTATGTCTATACATACTTTTAGGTTCTCTATGTACTTAGAGATATTTTTACACAGAAAGTAGTCTGGAAAAATACTCACTAGAATATTAACAATTGTGACAAAGTTTAGGATATGGGGAGACTAACCTAGAACAGTAAATTTTTCATAAAGACTTCTGAAACAGCTTTGATTAATAAAAATATATTCAAAGACAATAGGAAAGTACTATTTTTTGTGTTTTAATCAGTTTTTACAAAATCTGAAATGGGTGATATATGAGCTGTCACATGAATTCGACTTAAGTCTTGTTATCAGTAAACCATTAGGGTTTCTTAAGGTGAGAAGGAAAGAGAAATATTTCTGGTCTTATACTTGGCCTGACAAGGGAGTGATATTTGTATATATGTATGTACATATAGTTGGGGAGAATCTCAAAATACAATGTAGCCCAAATAAACAAGTAAAATTATTTTATACTCTTGAAAATTTACCTTAATCTATGATAAGTCATTGACCTTCCTGAGCAGACTGGTGGTTAACAAGGAAGCTTTTTAGCCTTCAGCTTTGAAAGATTCTAATTTATTTTCATTTAGTTTAGAGAATGGGCGGCAGGGCGGGGGGGGGGGTTGTTTTAGAAAAGAGTTTTTTAAACTGTAATTTTTTCATTTTAGAATGGAAGAAATATTACTGTCCCTGACAAAACTTCCCTAGAGTTGCTCTGTCAAGGATGTTCTGGTGATATCAGAAGTGCAATAAACAGCCTCCAGTTTTCTTCTTCAAAAGGTAACTATGAAAGATAAATTCTTACAGTATTATATTAGGTGACTTACTCTCAATTGTTCATGAGATGAAATCAAACTAAATATATTTTAATAACTGATACATATCTATCTCCATCTATTTTTTTTGAGATTGTTTCATAAAATCATGTATGTACATGTGCATACAATAAACACACCCCTGTGAATATGTCATTGTATGTATCCATATACCTGAGACAAAACCTGATTTATTTATGTGGTTTACTACTTTACTTTTTAATTGTTTTTTTTGTTTTGCTTTAATTTTAATATTTATTTTTGAGAGTGAAAGACAGTGTGAGCCAGGGAGGGGCAGAGAGAGAGGGAGACATAGAATCCAAAGCAGGCTCTAGGCTCTGAGCTGTCAGCACAGAGCCCGACACAGGGCTTGAACTCACAAACTGCAAAATCATGACCTGAGCTGAAGTTGGACGCTCAACCGACTGAGCCACCCAGGCGCCCCTTTAAAGTTAATTTGGATGAGACTTCCTTGTTCTGCCATTTACCAGTGACTTAGTCTTGCAAATGACAATCATTTTGTGCTTGCATATTCTTACCTTTTATATGAGAACCTCTCTTACAGAGTTGTGTGAAGAATAAGTGAGGTCGCACTTGTAGAGTGTTTATTCCAGTGCTTGATACATATTAAGGGATCAATAAATGGTCATCTGTTAATGAATTTAATAATATTGTGCTGATCACAAAAGTAATTACTTTTGATTTTTAAATTACTTAAAACTTTTTTTTAATGTTTATTTTTAGGAGAGAAAGAGCGTGCGCATAAGCAGGAGAGGGCTGAGAGAGGGAGACACAGAATCTGGACTAGGCTCCAGGCTCTGAGCTGTCAGCACAGAGCCCTATGTGGGGCTCGAACCCACAAACCATGAAATCATGACCTGAGCCAAAGTTGGACGCCTAACTGACCAAGCCACCCAGACGCCCTTACTTTTGATTTTTAATTTATGTAAGATACATTTAATAAGTTGATTTACTTCATTTTAAAAAGGTTGCATAGTCATGCTACATTAAAAGAGATAGCACATGGGGCACCTGGTTGGCTCATTCAGTTCAGCATCTGACTCTTGAGTTTTGCTTAGGTCACGATCTCACGGTTTGGTTCGTGAGTTTGAGCCCTTTGTCAGGCTGTGCGGAGCCTGCTTTGGATTCTCTCTCCCTCTCTCTCTCTTTGCCCCTCCCCGGCTCAGTCTAAAGAAAAAAAAAGAGAGATAGTACATGATTTATTGTGCATGGTCTTTCATCAGAAGACATTTAATAAGTCACCACATTGAGGAATTGACCTTGAAAATTTAAAAGGCATCTTTGGAGCTCTCAATCCACCTGAAATCCTAGTATCTACCTACAAGTGTAGCCTGTTCATTAGTTTACATCTCAGTTTTTCTTTTCTTTTTAATTTCTTTTTTCAATGTTTTATTTATTTTTGAGAGTGTGAGCTGGAGCAAGGGAGGGACAGAGAGAGAGAGGAACAGAAGATCTGAAGCAGGCTCTTTGCTGACAGCGGCAAGCCTAATGCAGGGCTCGAACTCAGAAACTGAGATCATGACCTGAGCCAATGTCACTCAACCGACTCAAACAACTGAGCCACCCAGACACCCCTACATCTTTGTTTTTCAAAATAACAATAGAGAAAAGTAAATAGGCAGCCTAATACAACTGAAAGTAGAATTCTGCTTATTCCTGTAGAAATGTAAATGGTGCTTAGGTTCACTTAGGTTCACTTAGGAATTACAGGTTGGGAAGGTTGAGGTAGGCCAGTTTGAGATCCTGACTACCATTTATACCATTATTATTCTGAGCTCAGAAATTTTAAAGGGAAGAAAATAATATTTTTTGAATGGGTCAGGAACTGTATGAGCAATCATATATTTTTACATTTAATTTTTGACCAGCCTAATGAGATAGACAATAATAAATCAATTCTAGATCCTATGTTTTTTCTGCTCTTCCAGGCTACTTTTTTCTTTTTTAAGTTTATTTATTTGTTTTGAGAGTGAGTGCACTGGTTGTGGGGTGCGGCAGAGAGAGAGGGAGAGAGGGAATCCAAGCAGGCTCTGTGCTGACAGGCTCTGAGCTGATGCAAGGCTCAATCTCACCACTGTGAAATCTTGACTTGAGCTGATATCAAGAGTTGGATGCTTAACTAACTGAGCCACCTACACACCCCTCAGGCTACGTTTCTTTCTTT